ATCACCTTGTGCTTTTGGCTTTCTGCTTTCCAGAGAGCATGTTTGGCTCTCTGAAAAGAGGTGACAGTTTCAGTTATTGTTTGAATATACAACACATATGCATGTGTGTGTATGTGCCTGCATCTCTCTATATATGAATTTCACAATGTGTTGACTGGGAGATGAATTAATAATATTCGTAAAGGTGTAGACCATAATATCAGCTGCTAAATAATTTTCTCAATGTTAAGATTATGCAAATATTTGATGATAGTACCCTTAAAAGCTCTAAGGCCAGAGACTGGAGTTTACATAAATTCATTGTTAAAAACGTCTCTTTTTTTCAAAGGACAGAAAAATTTCACTTTCAGGGATGAGTAACCTGTTCTGTTTCTATAATATCAGGGAGGAGATGAATCGTCTTCTCCAAGTACCTGTCTCTGTCCACTGACTGTAGAGGGAAATAAAATGGCTTTCTGCAGTTATTTTAGCTGATGTTGTACTTGATTCTTAATTAGCAACTAGCAACACTATGTCTTTGTTGTGATTTTCTTTTTGAGCTCTCTTCTGACACCTTAGTCTACTTACTCAGAATGGAAACATGGTCATGGGATAGAATAGAATTTAATAGAATGGGATCCAACTTTTGTGAGCACTCCTGGCATTTCAGGAAAATAACAGTGGCAACTTTGGAACAAAAATCCTTGACCTTACAGTCAACAGTTGGTCACAAAGTAATTCTGCTGCAGGCTGGTTTTGAAATTTTGGGGCAATGGTTCACTGTTGACTCAAAGGGAGTAGTGAGACCTGCAGGATGACTAACACCTGGTGTTTTGTTTGGGAACCTGCCATTTAAGTATTTGAGCATAGGCCAAACCTTATTCTGATTAGCTCCTCTGAGGTGGCACTACAGTAATGCCACACGCAAAACCAATACTGTTGTCAGATACAACAAACGCATGTACTCCTAGGTAAAGTCTTCCAATGCTGATAACAAAGAGCTCTATTGCTTTACCCAATGTAGACTCTTTGTGGTAGTGGGTCTGTCAGACTAGTCAGTTATTAGAAAACAATCTAGTTGTATGCAGACAGAATAATCATTCTGGATAGGGTTTCAAACAGGTCTCAGGAAGTGAGTCACTCACCCCCTTGAAAAGTGAATGGTAGCTGGAGACCTGTTTCCTGAGACACCTTTGAATCTTAGCTTATGTTACAGTATGGCTGTTATCCAACCTTAACTTGGGACATTGAAAGGGTTTTCTTTCTCTTTTCTTTCCTTTTTTTATGCCAAATTAAAAGTAAGAGGGCCTAAAGTGCATTTACACCAAAGCAACTTTCCACTGACTTAGCCATATAAAGAAGCCTTGTAGTAGGCATAAATATGATTTATACTCAATTTAAGACTCATTTCCACCCACCTGAGTGGTGTGAAGCAACCTTTGTTGAAATCAGATTCAGGTCTACACATTCCAGAATGCAGCCAGGTTGTGTTGCTCAGACCTGCTGCAGAAGCAGAAAGTGTTCTGCTCCAGTTGGCAGCAGGGCAACAGGGTTGCCTTGCTATCCAAACAAATTGTTCAGACTCTCTGTGTCTTTCCAGTGTTCATTCTACTTGAGAAAATTACATCACTATCCAGGAAGACCTTTTCAGTCTTTGATAGACTTCTTTTGATTTTGCGGAATAGAAAGACAGAGAGAGGAAAGAGAGAGCAGATTAGATACTTGGATACTCTTTCTTAAGAAGTCATATAAACGATAGGGAAGTGTAACTCAGCTAACAGTTTCTTAATTTTCTAATAGAGGATTTACAGTTGGGAGTAGATCTCTTTAGAAAAATATCCTTAATTCCCACATAGTATTTTTTTTTTAAGAATGCAGAGTGTCTTAGGAAGCAAAAAATATCCAAATTGAATCCAAGTTACCTATTCTGGAGGAATACCATCTGGGTTAAGGGACCAAAGTAAGGTTTTAGCTTTGTTTTGAAAGGGAAATTACTTTATGTTATGACTCATCAGAACAAGTTAATTTTCCTATTAGCATGTTTTACCTTAAAGCTATAATTTTATTTTAAAATCCATGACAATACATCTGGATTGCATTTTGAAAATTAAGTTGATCTGTAAATATGACCTGAAGCTTTAAAAAAAAAAACAAATTTAAAAAATCCTTTTCCTTCATATTTGAAAGTAATGAACATCAATGAAGTGCTTTGGCGTGCATTATTATTACTGAGTGCCTATAAGCGATTTCAATAACATTATCTAATTAATCTTCCTGAATTTCTGAGATGTAGATAGAGTTATTTATTTAACTTCTTTTGCAATTGAATGACAATTAGAAACAACTTGAATGACTTTCCCAAAATATTGCCAAACATCATTTGCAGAGGCAGATTTAAAAAAAAATCTTAGGTTCTAACATAATCATAAATTCCTCTTGTCATTTTTATAATTATGAAGGAATACGTCCTTTCAGCTGACCTTCTTTTACACATAAAAATAAACTCTGCTGTGTTCTCATGTCTCTGTATTGTACAGCTCTTGAAAGTTCTGTGACGATTGTTGTATCTTCTCAAAATTTTTAAAAGATATCTGTCATGAGGGTGCTTGACCCGTGCCAGTAACCCAGGTACTCAATGCATCACCTCACTGCCTTCCGGACACGCATATAAAACAGTGTGACTTTATATTTCCTTTTCCAGTTACTCACAATCTAATTTAAGCTGTGTTTTGCAAGCACTTTTTTATTTTCCCAAATGACAAGTGTATTAGCTAAGACTGTCAGCCTAGCTGCCAGCTCCCCCAAGCAAGCCCAGCAGGCTGTGACCTCATGCATGCAGCACGCAGGACTGACTAGGGGCTCCTAGGAAATAGATGTGAAGCCTGAGCCCTGTCTTAGCTGCCTTGGTAAGCATGTTTTATGATAAACTTTATCTCATTATGGGAGGGAAGGGGGAAATTTTGGTCAAAGTCCAACTCTAGAGCTTATGTTGAGGCTGAACTTTTCTGCTCTCCAAGTCTGCCATATCAAATTAGGGAGAATAAAACCGGCTGCTTGCCCGATTATTTATAACATCACAGGAAACTTGGAATGACTTATTAAGGATGGAAATAGTTCTCTTTCCTCAGAAACGGATCTTACTTTGCCAAGATACACAGTGACTGACTGTGTGTAAGAGTGGTACACAAATACCTTCCACGTTGAAGGTTATTAAAATATACCTGGCCTCGTTTATCAGCACTTACATGATATGCATTTATCCACAAAAAATACTTTAAAAAAGGCTCCAGGGAGCCCTGCTCAATGTCTTTAGGGATATAGCAGTAAAAAGAATCCAACAAATCCAACGCACAAATCAGTGAGCTTTTTGTATCTTTAGCATGGACCTTGACAAATATTTTTGTACAATACCTACTGACCACATTGGCTGTTCATTAAAAATGAAGTTGTTAAGTCTGTCCCTTGAATATTACAAAAATAGATATTGGAAATGCAGGGCAGCCTTAGGAGCAGGAAAGTTTAGTCTGAGGATCATAAAAGGAAATTTTATGTTGGATTTAACTTCTAACTCACTCAGTGACCATATGAGTAATTGTCCCACCTCACTGTTCCAGAACCCTTAACACAGGGCACCAAGACTGACATATAGGTGCTGTGAACCACCCTTTATCATGAGCTTTGATTCATAAAATGTGAATATCTTATTTATGAAGAGGACTTAAAATGGGAAAATAGCACATAGTATTTTGAAAGGGAGTTGCGTAGGATGAGTGGTGTAAATTAGAACTCATGTGTTCAAAGCCCAGTAATTCTGGCTTGATACTTATTGATAGATAATTCACAGGGAAATCTGAGAGAGAAAGTTGGGAGAATTTAAATTTCATGGGTGAAATTAAATTTCTCTAATCCATTCAAAAAAATGTCTCAATACTGCAACTGCCTGCATTTCCAAAACAGTTTTCAAAGAGCACAGATTTGGGCATCTACATGACTGTGATAGTAGTCCAAGTTAGACTACAAAAAAAAATTGCAATATGATTGCAAGCCTGTAGGGTTATAAGGAAGTGAAAGAAAGCAGACATCGAGTTAGATGTAAAGAAAATTGTACTAATTACAGATTTTAATTTTTCTTGTTATATGTAACTGTTACTTCCTGAACTATCTGTACAAATTAAATGACTTTTGGTTTGTCTTATCACTTCATCCTATACTTCATTTGCTGGTAGCTTTGCAAAACAGAAATCTTTATCAGAGATGTCGAGCTCATGGTATCTTTGTGAATGAAATGAACAAAACAGACTATTTGTGCTTTGACTTTTCTGTTCCTGATGAAGCTGATAGAGGAAGAGAGGTCTCACAGAGTTTAGAGTAGAAGAGGTCTGATTCTTTATTTCTACATTTGCACTGCTAAATAGAGCTCTTTCTAGGACTATTGATGTCCTTTAATTTCTGACCAGGAGTTCTTTGAAAAGGCTCTGAAAAAGCAGTTTCTTTCTACATTTTTCAAATTATTTGGTGACCATTTCACAACAATAAGATCTAACTTCCTTTTTTTAGGTATTCAGAACAGAAAGGCACTGTGCACACCCTGATCCATAGAGCAATACACTTTATCTTGAACTTTCAAATATGTGGTTAAGGGTTCAAATCTTAAGAAAAGTACTGGAGGACTACTCAAAGCTCAGTGCCTCAAAATTAGACGCAAGCCTGAGGAGTGAAATTCATAGTGCAACACTGGACATCTAAGCTTTCCAGTACAATCCTCAAACATAATTCATATCAGCCAATACATTTGATGGTGGATATCTAATCTACACATTTGAAAATGTCAGGGAGGGAAGCATCTAAAATTTTGTTTCTTCTGAATTTAGGCCTTTATCCATAGTCCAAATTAGGTTCTGTAGAACTAGGATTTGCAAATGCTTTGCTTGTGGTTCTAGATGTAAGTCATATGAGGTGTCAGCAGACAGCTCTCTCCTGCTTCTCTTTCAGAAGATAGCCAGCGAGAAGAAGGAGGAGGAGGAGGAGGTGATATTACTAAAGAGGTTTTGCATAACTGTCTTGCTATGCAATTACTTTCCGCCTTCTCCTGACCTATTTTTGAATGGAAGTGGCTGTCGGAGCTCTGCAATGTGCTGCCACTGCTGCTGTCACCGTGCGTGAAGTGAGCTCGGAGCACACCTACGGAGCTGGGCCACTTGGCAAATTGAGCACGACACACTGCTTTGCATCCCAGATGGACTAGATGTGGAGGATGTGCACTTCATTCAGCTGAGAAGGTAACATATTTAATGTGTGCAGAGACACACCAAGTTAGAAAACTTAGATGCCTTAGACATGTGAGTACATAGAATTTTTTAGATCACGCTATGTTTAAATTACAGTTTGAGTGTATGGTAGGTGCTTAAGTACTGTCTTGGATTTTACCTTGGATTGTTTGGACATTGTCTCTTCATAAGAGTTTTGGTAATTTTACTTTTTGAGCATCTAACTAGCATTGTGTGACCATGTGGTGTAGAAGAGAAACAATAAAAAGTCTGATTTGAGAAAATTATTTTTTCTCTGTCTTCTGGAACATGATCAAAGTTTTAAATAAGTTTAGATTTTACCCAAAATAGCAAGATATGCAGAAAATTTAAGGAAAAAAAAACCCCTAATTTTTTAATCCCTGGGCTGCAAAAGTTCCGCCTATTCCATTTTGAGATATTTCTGTACAACTTATTTGTGATTTTCTTGTTTGCTTCTTTGTTTTGTTTGTGGCTTGGTTTTTTGTTGTCTGCTTTTCTTTCAGATGTTGTACATCATTCTCTTAATGTTTGTCACTGTCTAAATGAGTAAATGGTATAATTTTATTTTACTGAGCTATCTCACAAAAATATATTGCCAAGAAGAAAGACTTGAGACAAAAGAGTGTCTGGAAAAAGTATAGAAATATGTCTGTCTTTCCTCATGGCTTAAGAATGGTTTTAAAGAGGTTCTTATGAATATTATGACTTTTTAAAAGGCTGTAAGTACAAAGGGTAGATCCTTAAAAGCTAAATAGATCTATACTGAGGTAGTAAAAAAACATGCAGATGTACTTGTAAACCTTCTTACCAGCAAAGGAAACAACTTAATCTCTTTACTGCCTCAGTCTAATTGCTTCCCAAAAAACTGAACCTCCTCATTCAACACATAAAATCTCAGGCATTTTTTCTTTTTACTTTTTCCCTTTTCCTATTTTATTTTTTCTTTACAAACTTCTTAAGACTAAGCTGAAGACATGCAATTTCATTACGTGCAATTAAAGTGCCTGGAGTGGTTTGTCATGCAGAACTCTCAAGTGTGCAGATCTCAAAGACCTCAATCGTCTCAGGTCCCTCAGTTCATAGGCATGGTGTCCAGCAGACAGAATACAACAGATGTTGAGACAAAAAGGGCAAGAATATGTGATTGCAAGCAATTGAGCTGTCCCTGTTAAATGAGTTCCCATAAGCAGTAGTTGTGACTTTCTACCTCCATCATAATGGTGTTTAATACTAACTACGCAGATATATGAAGAAAATAGAAGTCTGATCACTATCGGATCTGTTCTCCTTGTTCCTTGTTTTAGACACATAATAAACACAAGGATCAACTCTGACCCCATTTTTGGTGAGGTTCTTTTTCATGCCTCTATTGATGTCTGGTCAAATTTGTAGCATGTGGACAATAATCTATTAGTCTGCAGAGACAGTGGTGTAGATGGACTCCTTTTGATGAAACAAGAGCTTGTTTAAACTACCTCAGTCTTGAAGTGAAGCCAGTCCCAAATTTTCCTGGAGTTTTAAAGACAGTTTTTAACTGTTAAAAAATTATATATAGAGAGAAATTTATATGCATGTGAATAAATACATATTCATACTCACTTTTATTTTTGCATTTTTTGAGTTCCAACTGGCCTTTTTCTTCGTATATCTTATCCAAACAGTAGAAGGAAGTTTCAAAAAGTTTTCAGAAAAGCCAGCTGCCACTGCATTTCCTGAGCATCTCCACTGTGATCTTTTGGGTCTCTGGAATACTGCTTGGGTCACAGGGGGACATTACATACAGGACCCTGCACTTCCTGCACAGACTATCATCAATATTTATATTGAGTCTTATTTAGAGATATTTTTAGATATCCATAAGATTAGAAGATGGGAGTGAACCATATTTTCTTTTCTCGTATACTACATATATGCATTTCTGTAGCTTGAATGTAGGAAACTGTAGCTAAGCTGAGGAAAACTGAATGAAGCAGTCCAAATTTTGATGTAAAGGAATATAGTGACTCTTCTAAGAGGATTTTAGCTTTGGTCTTGTTCCCATATTTCTAAAAAAAAATTAGTATGCATATGATTTTTTTGTCCAGAAATATTTATTGCAAAGAAAAATATACCTTTAAATACTATAGTTAATGACTCCCACCCTATTTCTTTTCAGATTTTTCCACCTTCTGTTGCAGTCATCGCTCTTAGGTTATGTGTAGAGAGAGAAAAAGATACACAAGAGGAGTTGGAGATCTGTTGATGCTGTATGACGACACATTCACACTTATACAAGTGTCACAGAACTTCTTTCTTACTGTGACATTTTTCTTAATAAAGGCAGCGGTTTTGTTGGAAACTGTGTTCATGCTTACACCAGGGCTAAATTTGTTTCTAATTATCTGGCACAATTGCCATAGCAGAGCATGCTGTGTATACCAGCACTACATAGATAGGGAGTTTGTGAGAAGAAACATGCTCTGGATTTAGAATGTGAAAACCAGCTGAGGAGTTCACCACAAGGCAGGGGTGTGAAAACTTTACTTAGAAGCTGTTTTTTTTCCCCACTGTGTCTTTTCTGCAGCTGATGGAGTAATAGAATTGTAATGGTTTGCTTACAGGCAGTCAATTAGGCACCTACAGTTACTCCACAGGGTGTAGATTTTACGAGTGGCTTATTCATAAATAAAAAGAATTACTGCACATTTTGCACTAATGTTCTCCATTTCTAAACATCAATGCATTATTTATTCCAAATCTTGTCACACTTTTATGCAAGGTCTTTGTTTCCTATTCTGCCCTCTTTACTATCAGGGTAGATTGACATCGACTGATTTGTGATATCCCACTCTAACACACAGCATTAGTTGTACTGGAATTCACAGGTAAAGGGTCAGTTTGAATTGGGCAACTTATAGGAAGACTATGAATCTGAAAGAATTAGTAATGTTGAATTTGTGTCATGAAACCTGAAGCTGATATTGCACTGTGTGGTTTTGAAGGGACAGCACTGCTGGAGATGGTTTTAAAAAGAGATCAGTCTAACCTTCTGACAGTTCTTGAAATCTGAAAGTCAAATATTATGTTACATTTTTTCCATATGAACAAGGAGAGAAATGTATAGTGCCTATGTACAAATTATTGAAAACAAGGAATGATGGTTACTATCCTTACTTTCTCCAAGCATTTGAACACAATTCATACAGTTGCAAGTACATTTATACATGGCCCATTCTGGAAACAATTTAATCTCTTTTCTGCTCTATGTAAATGTATACACATATATGTATGTATATACAAAAAGATTGCAACATAGAGATAAAGAATACATAATATTTTATAATATTTTTATTATTAAAATATAAAATAGCATAGGCAATCATAGATAAAATCAGTATTGTCCCATACATCAAGTCTTAACTCAGTTTCTCCTGTCCCCCACATCCAATTTATACATTCCAGTCATTGTAATCTCTTATCAACAATTTTCCCTTTTATCCCCACCCCCATTATCCTTCCTCTTCTTTCTCTTGTCCTTCTCCCACTGTGGTCTTCAGAGTGGAATGTGGGTGGGATTAAGTTTAGGCAGCCGGCAGGCGGCTGGCAGGAAAAGGCACTATATACAAATGTGTCCCAGGTGTCCTAGCATGTCCTTGCCACACAAATGGTCACACTTGCTGTTGACAGGATGACAAACTTCAGCCCAGAATCAGTGCCTGTAATAAGACAATGATGTCACTGGCTCTACAGACTATTGTGGAAGAGGGATGATGTGAATACAAACAGCTGTAAGTATTTTATTTCATAGGAAGATAATTTCACGTGAGAGATATTTTCTCTGTCTCTTCTGTCCCATTTTCAATATTTAATATATCTTCTTTTTACTATTGATTAATTTACAAATAATGTCATTCATATCTATAACTCAAAGTAAATAAACACGTATAAATACAATACATCTGTTCACAGTCTCTGAGGAGTCTTTTTAAAGAGTAATACCTATCTCCAGCTTACAAAAGATTTAATGTCTGGCCAAAAAACTTTGCATGTTGACTTATGGATGTTGGCACATCTATTGTTATTACAACTACATTTGCCAGGTTCCATAAAACACTGCCATTCTCTACACACTTGCCATGCATTCAATTCTCTCTTCAGGGAGAGGTGGGATTTTATAGCATCTATTATGCAGCAAGGAACACATATGAGAACTTTGACAGACAGATATATAAAAATATATATGTTTATACACATACAGACAAAAAATATATTTTCTTTGGTTATTTATTCATTAAAAATAAGACTTCACAAGGGAGCATTATAGAAAATATGTTTCCTAGACTAATTGTCCTTTTGGAGTTCATTATTTAACACGTTTGTTTGTTTCAGAATGGAGTGTATCTACAGAAATATAGTTGTTATTTAACTTGAATATTGCCCCATACAGTAATTTTTTTATAAAGATACCCACTCATTAACTGATTTCCTATGAATGCTGCAACAAGGGAGTTCAGAAAAAAAGACATGAAGGGGAGAAAGATAATAGTCCCACACTCCAGTCCAGAAAAAATATATTGGATGTAGGAGTTAACATGTGCTACACATTATTAATGTTCTCCAAGTTGCTTTTGTCTAAGTTCAAAGCAGGAGCTGCATTTCATAGCTACTATATAGGATACAGAGCACAAACCTATAATGCACGTCCATGAAATGATGGCTTGGACAGAATCCCCATGCCGTGCCTGTCTGGAATAGTAGGATTGCATTTCCACAGATTTATTTGTCAAAAATATTTACATTTTCTTATAAATATACTTTAAGGCTTTGATTTCTAGGACAGATCAGCATACTTTTGACCCTTGTAAGGTGCTGCCAGTCACAGGGACACTGGATTCAGGCCTGCCTAAAGATGGAATTTCTGCAGCACTTTAGGCCTTTTCCAGGGAAAATCTTGCTGTGTGTACCAGTATCATAGGAGTGGCATTTATATAAATGCAGACACAGCTAGAACCTAGCAGAGTAAATAGGACTAGCAGAAGAGGGGAATGTATGGAAAAATGCTTTGCTAGTCTATAGCCCAGCAGCATGTAGGGAGACTGAGAACAGCTCTAAATGAAGTTGCTTACAGCTCAGCATCTCAGCTGTCAGAGCTATGGGTTCAGAGCTGCTGTATGAGGAATTACATCTTGAAGGTCAGAGGTGAAGATGATGATTGCAGTATGTTGGAAGTATATTTGTCCCAAAAGTAAAAAATATGGAAAAAAACCACAGTCACTTTTTTCTTTTCTTCCTAATAGTGTACACTCTCTAAATTCCTAATATATATAGCTTTAAGATATAACAATTTTATTTTACAACATATTTAAGAATCTGTGCTTGAAGATTACTCTGCATCTCAACAGCCTTCTTAGCAACTCAGTCCAGTTTGCAGAATCCACAAGAATAAATACAGTTTTATTAGAGAGCTACAGTCCTTCTGGTGTGTTTGAAATTAACTGCCAGAACTATTTCAGTGTATGAAACTGAGTTTGTAATCAGCTTTCTTAACTGTTCTGAGAAATGCTGACATTTTCTACAGGATGTATTTTATCCAGTTCAAAGAGAATCTTTGGAACCAAATATCCAAAACTCCCAAGTTTTCAACTAAAATGCAATGCCAGCTCAATTATTTTTTTAAATTTAGATAAGAGAACAGGATTTACCAGTGTTTTGATTTTAAGTTTTTAACTGAAAATGGAAGATGTATTTGGAAAGCACCACCTAGACCACCTCTGTCTTCCAGAGACATTCTACATTGTCATCCACTAAAGAAATTATAAGGTAAGATACTCCTGAACACTCTGGTCCAAAGTTTTTACACACATAGGATTTTCTATTCATGCATAAGAGGTGCACAGCTGTGAATTTTAAGTTGAAACACCCAATGACACTGACTTTCCATAAACTATTTTCTAGTCTATTGTGTTCTGATAGAAGGAATCAAACCAGATATCCTTTCTGGACAAAAGCCCAACCAGAACCAGATTGGCTGACAATAATTTGCAGGTTTCCAGTGTACACTGAGTCTCCTACACACCAGTTTCACTAACAACTTGGCATGCATTCAGTAGTGGCATCCTTTGAAGGGGCAGACACTCATAGGAAAATTTATGTGCTAGATTCTGTTTCCTGAAACTGCTTTGCTTAAGGGATCAGTGCACAGGCTTCCTGGAGTTTCCTTTAATTGTTTGTGGAGATCTGTGTTGCAGCTACTGAACAAAACCACTATGAAACTTTAGTGGGCTTTGATTTATTTTGACAATTTATTTTATAATTTATATGTGTAACCAACCAATTATATTTAACTCTGTTGTGACTAGTCTGTGTGTAGTGACTTCCTAGACCAAATGTGACAGGCTGTCACCACAGACAGCTACCAAGCAGTTCTTTGGCAGATCAGCCAGTAGCACTTGTACTTCTGAGACTGTGATTGTAGGCATTATATCTGCACTGCAGTCATGGGTGAGTTCTGTTTTGTGCATAGTTTGGAGGGACATTTATTGAGCTGTCAGTGTTGTAATCTAAATATACCATATTAACATCAGCTCTGTTAGGTGGGACTGATGTCTAGAAAGAGCTATAATTTTTGGAAAAGCCTAACTTGCATAGTCAATATGCCATCAGAAAAAGATGCTACTACTGCATTCTTCTTCAATGTGTTTAGAAAACAGTTTGCAACAAGCATACTAAGCAATAAGGGAAATCTTTGCTCTTGTTTGCTTAATCCCACTCTTGGTGCAATGGTCCTTTGGGTCTTGTGCACAGGGACCAAAATCCATGCTAAATAGCAGCGTAGAAGTGAAATAAAGGAGGAGCATTCATATTTAGCCAGATGTAGGGAGGGATGCAATACAAAGATTTATGTATCTAATACTTACACATCTCCTCAGCTGACCAATTCATTATTCTTCTGCCAAGGCTTTAAGCTGCTGACATACAGCTGGATATTTTATTTATTTAAGTGTCTAAATGTTTGAGATTATGTTTCAAACTGCAGCTTTGCAACCTTTTTGCAACATTTTTCAGCTGCCTTCTCTCATTGCAATATTGGTGCAATAAGTATGTCATCCACCTTTAAAATTGCTTAAAAAGAAAAGATAAAAAAAAAAAAAACCAAAAAAACACAAAAAGAGGTAAAGGTTTCACCTCTTCAAAGAGCAGATAATTTCTGACTCATACCATCATGTCCCACTAATAGTACTTCAATTGTTTGGAGAGGGTTTGGCCAGCCTTCTAAACAATGATAACCTACCTTTACTAGCATTGAGTAGGCCAGATGTGAAGTACCCACTAGAGATTACTGCCCTAATCTTTTTTCCTCTTGGATGATCTGCTATTAAGGCACTTAAGAATATTTCTAGTCACCATAACTCACTGGCTTACTCTCAAGGACCTGTCATCGTCCCAAAGCTTCCAACCAACTTTCCTCTTGAAAGAGAAAAATTGACGGAAATGCCCGATTGAAGTTTAAATTCAGTGTGAAAGAGATGACATAAATGTTTTTGTTTAGTTTTAAGAATTGCCTACTTAAAGAAAAGAATATATCTCATAATTTTAAGCTCTTGTGAATGTGAACAAAATTATGTTCAGGGCGAAATATGGTTAACTGTGTCTTATAAAACATATAAACAAAAGGTTACCATTTACTTTAATGTCACAGCATTAAGTTTTATTTCTCATTGACCACCACTGATTTAAAGATAAATTCTGCCAACTTGACTAACAAGGAATTCACCCCTATGAAAAGTCAAACAAGTTTTTTATAAGCTGCTAAGGTAGAGCAGGTAGGTAGCAATAAACTCAATATTGCTGTTCATTACAAGATCTAAAGAAGTTCTCCATGTTCCTATCACAGGACAATGCCTACTTGGATGATTATTCCTATGCAGCATAATAGACTGTGCTGCAAAGATCCCTGAAGTGATGCCATCCTGATCATATGTGCATGACAAGAGACACATTTCTGCTAGTAATTTATATCTGTCTCTAAGCAAGTGTTTTTTCAACAATCTTTCAACAAGAATACACTCTCTCTGATTCTTTTATATATGTAGAGAGAGGTGGAAATGTTATTAAATCTACGAGTTTGGGTTAGTTCTCCAACATATTATATGGCTGGTGTATTAAAACCACCTGTGCCTGATTAAAGAGTGGGAGAATTGGTGACTATCATCCTGGCAAAAACCATACATAGAGGACTAAAGATAACAAATATATATATACTTTTTGTGATGAGAAAGGGATAGAGAAATCCAGACACTAAATATACAAATGAAAGTATTTAAACAAAAAAGCATCTATTCAAAAGCGATTACATAAATTGTTTGCAAACTTTTACACTCATAATTGAATACCAAAATGTTTAAGTAGGAAATACATTTGTGGTACTCTTTTAGCTAATTCAGAAACAGAAAAAGTGGATAAATTTAAAGTATTTAGTAAAAGTGGCTTACTAATCTGTCATGATTTTGCTAATGCTTTTACAAGCATATTTCCAGTTCTTTGTTATAGGGAGAAATCTTGCTCTGACAGGCTCAAGTATAAAATGATCAGGACTTTCCTTCATTATTATTGATAGTATTGAGTACTGTAAATTTTACCTACTAATGGAGACTTACTATGGATTTTTTATTTCTAGCTTCATGGTGTCATTACAGTGTAATGGCTTAAGGGGAAGAAAGTTAACATTTGAAAAAAAAAGGTTTGTTTCACACACAGAATGACTAGGTTAGAAGATACCTTAAAGATTATCAAGTCCAACCCATGCCCTAACACATCAATTAAACCATGGCACTGAGTGCCATATCCAGTCTTTTCTTAAACACATCCAAGGATGGTAACTCCACCATCTCCCCGGGCAGCCCATTCCAGAATGTTTGGTTGTGAATTTTTTCCAGCAGATAAAAAAAAAGGTTGAAAAAATGATTCAAATGATTTAATGATCTTGCTGAAAGAATATGTAATCAGAAATACTGTTCATTTTCACTTCCCGTAGACATTTATTCTCTTGGTTTTAAGGTCCACAAGTAGACAAGTGACTGAGAATGTAGAGGACCAGCCTTTCCAAACAGTTATCACCTTTCCAAACAGTTTTGAAAATTGGTAAGTGTCCTGAAATGGTTATCTTCAATGCATCAGTTCAGTGACAGTGTTTTGATGCTTCATCTTTGATATTTCATGACAAGTTTAGATATATATATATATGTAATGTATATATGTATATATATGTGTGTATCATAAAGACTTGTTTTCTCTACCGCAGATCCAGATATGAAAGCCTTTTGAGCAAGAACTGAAGAATATAGAAGTTTCCAGTAGCAACAGGAGCAATTCCTTCTGTGCTGAAGACTCATCTTTTCACTAGAACTGAATGTATCTTCTTTATACTCAATATCAAGAACATCAAAAAAACCCCAAATTTACATCACTAGAAAATTGTGTGAAGCTGAATTTAAGTAGAACTAGTCTTTTTAAGAATAAAAGAAAACAAGATGTTAAAAGCTAATTTTAATTTGTGACATGCAGCTAAACCGTCTGTTTCTACTTGTTCTCTGATATTTGGAGTTGGCTTCCTTGGACATAGGACATCTGTGTTGATATGTAGCCATAATGATTGCTAAAAGAATCCTAATCTTTATGTCTAATTTCTCAGTTATGTCATTTGAGACTTAGACATTTCTTATATTATTCATCACAGGTATTGAAAATAATTGAAGTATTTCCAAGGAAGTCTTGAGGACAAAATGCCAAATCTTGAGGACAGGGGAGAGTTTGCAAATTGCAGGGATGCAGCATCAAGCTAAAGAACAAGGGATTAACCATTTTAGTGTGCAGTACACCAGAGAGGGCAAGAAGTACAGGAGAAAGCAAAAGTCATTGTATGTTAAGTACTGAACTAGTGAAAGCTGTCATATAATTTCTGAGAGGGTTGGTTGACTTCTACTTTGTATCTGTCATATGTTTCAATCTGTGTGCTATTGTACTTTACTCATGCAAATCTAAGTGGAAATAAATAAAATTCCAAATACTTTGTAAGACTAATTTCAAAGAGTTCGTTTTTTCCTAAGCTAAAAAAGTCATATATTCCATTTATCTCCTGTCATTACTGATTACTTCAGCACTCTGGATAACATTTAAAACCAGGCAGTTTATAAAATAGAGGTGGAATTACCTCTTATATGGGGATAAAAAAATTTCCACCTATAATTAATTAAAAAAAAAAAAAAGTAAATGGGTAAACAATGAAAATACAATTATTTTATCCCAAGAAAATTCAACCAAGTGGAGAGAACTAATTGCTTAGAAATTATTCATATTTATATTGCTGTATGCCAGGTATTCCCTAAAATCCTGAATCACATTTTCTATTTTTTTTTGTGTTAGTCCAGCCCTGAAAAAACCTATTTCAATTTTCCATGCTATATTCAAGTTTCATATTGAAAACAAATGTGAACCCTCTTTAGAATAACAACCTTATGTTACTTTTTCCATAAGTATTTTTTTCCTTTTCCCCTTTTAAGTCTGTAATTCTTTCTGTCTGACTTTATTAAGTGTGTGAAAAGGTAGGCAGGCTGCCCAGCTCTTGGAAATTAAAGTTCCCTAAGTAGCTCAGGTGCTTGCATGAAATTCAGAAGCATGACAGCTAAGAAAGAAACAACATACGACAAGATGATCCCACGTACAGAGAAAAACTGAGGACATCCCCATCTACTGTTATATCTGCACACTGGGTTCTGAAGCTTTATCATGATGGTAAAACGAGGGAAATTAATCTTAAAAGCTGGGCATTCTATTTGCATACTGTGGAGAAAGGAAAAGTCTCACAATCCCTTTTATGGTACACACTCAGGCCCTCAGCCTTTTTAGTTCAGTGCAAACTGTTGAAAAGCAAGTGATTTTATTTTATTTTATTTTATTTTATTTTATTTTATTTTATTTTATTTTATTACCTTCCTTTGCCTTATTTGTCTTAAATAATTCTTACAATAATGCTCACAGAAGTAAAAACTTACAAAACTGTACTTTATGAAAAACAAAAACAACAATATGCAACAATTTAATAAATAAACAATATCAAAAACATGTTTAAAAAATGAACAAGCTTCAAGAAAAAGTAAATGTCTTATATTTTTCTCTCTGACTTCTAAAAGTATTATTAGATCTTTCTCTCCATGTGTTTCCCCACTTCCAGCCAGTATGGATTTTCATTTTCAGATTGCGTGGTTCTGGCCTGAGACTGATTTGAATTGCAACCTTCTGTACAGACTTATTTACTTTTTTCACTATTATGTTTGATAAATGAAAGTGATTGAAATAACTCAGTTTCAAGTTATGTAAAACTTAGTCTGATTATTTACTTGACCTCCCAGTGTCCTCTAAAGTGCCACATGTCATTTGTTTCCGGTTATTGCACTTGAACATACAGACAAGCACATAAGATTGATTCAAAATCACCAAACACAGCAAAGAGATAGAGGTGCATTTTAGATGGCCTATGACCAGGGCCACAGGCCTGTTTGTGCTGGGATTCCAGAAAGGCTCATGTCTTTATGTGCATGAATCCCTTTTTCATTTAATTGAAAATTTATACTGATTAACCATGAATTATGATACCCAGTTCACAGCATGATGTGGGCTGTAGACAACAAATCTCTGAAGTATGAATTCTGTGTGTATTTGTATCTGTATACACACACACACACACACAATTTCTGTAAAGAAACTGTCTATAAATACAGAACTAAAAGAACTTAGTGATACCAATAGAGACATAATAATGAAAAATGACAACTTTCTCAATGCATATTGTTGGGTTACTCTGATTACTTCTATCTGTTTTCTCTGCTTTAGTGGCTGGGCAATTTATATGTCCATCCCTAGTTTACAGTCTCAAACCTCTCATACAGTGGATTTCATTGTCATTAACTTTTGAATATTAAATTCTAATATTTATGGGCTCCGTCACTGAATTGTAGAATTGTCACACATTTAATTATAATTTCTTTCACATATTCAGCTAATGAGACTTATTAATGGTATTGAGAATTAAGATAATGTTAAATAAAATAGTAATGCAACTATTTCATATGCCATTGTTCATCTCACTAGAGCTTAGATATTTGAGATATTTCTTATTCAAAGAGGCTAAAGTGAGTTAGACGAATATCGGCTACCTCCTCATCACAATCTTCTTTCTTGATTAAAATAAAGGTTAGCACCATCATCTTTCTTTCTGTTTTTATCGAGGTGGACATGTTCTGAGGAATAGAGCACACCATCTTCACTCAATCTTAATTTACATTATAGGACAATGAAGATGTGTTAGATTCTCAGAATTACAGGAAATTGTTCTTGTAACAGCAAGTGATTAATCCTCTGGTTTCCATTACAGTCTCTTACAGAAACAATTAAGTTTTATACATAATCATAAGAACAGCTGCAGAATTGCCCCAAAGCTTATCTGAAGTGCCATTATAAAAAATTTCCCGCAAAGTGGTGTCTGATTCCATTATGAAAGAAACATCACCAAAACTTTAATGATACGGTTTAAAGACAAGTTTTCTACAGTAAGGAGTGAATAGAACTCAATGTGTTTGTTCTTATGCATTATGTATTGTTCCATAAGGCTTATGCATAATGCATAAAGACATACCTATTCATATAGATACATACTAGTTTGAGTAAAGTGAAAAACAATAAAACTGTAAACACAGATGTTTTTCAAAAAACTTATCCAGATGCACTAACAAAAATTATTTAAATAAAAAGTAGAGAATAAACACTTTAGTGGTAAATACATCTCCACAAGACTTAGGCAGTCCACAGATTATGAATTTTTGAGGCACTTAACAAAGGGAAAACTTTATGTCTAGATGTTTAGGAATCAAATGAAAACTTCATTAACTAATTATGAGGCTAACAACAATCATAAAATCAGTTTCTCTATAACTAGGAACTTCATCAAGGTTTCTAAAGAAATTTTCTAAAAGCTGGTAAAAATGTGAAAGTCACAAGTGGAATTGAGCAATGCACCTCTGGCAGGATAGTTATAATTTTCATTGAATTTGTAATTACTTTTGTCTGAATCCAAATATTTATGTTAGAGAAATGTAAAACCAGTTCATTTCAGCATTTACACAAAAAAAAACTCTATTGGTATTTTTGAGACATTATATTTTTAGTCATGTCAAGACAGACAGGGACAAGCAAAAGAAATATTCACATACCAGCTGGAGGAATGAGCCCTTTTCCTGCCTGAAAATCCATTCAAGGCATGAGGGGGGCAGGCTTAAATCTCCCCTTTGCTTCAGAGGTTAATTTCCCTTTATTAAGATGATCTTCAATTTGGGAGTAAACATTCCAGAACTGAGAGCTGACAACATCTCCTGATATTACTAATCTTTTTTTTCAGTGAATGCACAAAATTTTTGGAGGAAGAGAGAAAGAATGAACAGCTTCATGGCCTAATAGCTGACATCTTTGCCTTGAAATCCATTTATTTTCTGTTAAATTTGCTAGATTCCAATCTTTTTTTTTTTTTTTTCCAATGGCACGTAGAGATATCAAGAAGTTAAGTGATTTGTACAGGCAGACACAGAGCTAGTGATAAACTCAAAGCTAATAACAAGAAATCTCATTCCTACACATTAAGTAATGTCAATGGTTTCACTTCTTTGGTGTGGCTTGCTGACAGTCATGTTCCAGTTGGTCTAGAAAGATAAACATATTTGTACACAAAGCCAATGTCTGTGAAATGAAACACTATTCACAGAATCTGATGAACCCCAAGACTGTTAAGAGTTTTGAGTTTGCCAGAATTCTTTGCAGTATCATGGATCACAGCAGTGATGTTTTCAGTATTTTTCAAGTCTCTCATTCATGGAAATTAAATTTACACAAGATCCCAGAGTGTAATCAGACTGCAAAAGTTCTTAATTTTGCTTTTGAAGTTAAATGTGAAGTTAAATTTTCTGTCACAGTGCAGAAGCTCCAAAGTGCAGGTATAAGAACAGCCAAATTGTTTAGACAAATATTAAATAAAAGTCTCATGCACTTTAGCCCAAAGCACTTATTAGAGAAAGACACAGAACAATTTTTTTTCCTTTACAAAAATGAAGATGTTATTGACAATAGAGACAATTCTGAGTCAGGCTTTAAAAATATTTGATGTTTGCAATTATGTCCTGCAGCAATTAAAAAAAAATCATAGCAGCTCAGAACAAAAATTTGTGAGTATAAGATAAATCACTGCCACTTAAAGGTTTTAAATTGGGTCAGAAATTTAGCAACTTTAATATCGACTGGCTGTTTCCTCACTGATTTTAAAGTGACTATTATCACTCACATATCTGTATCATAGTGTTCTCTATATGGACTTGGAATTTCCATTGAGTTAACTGTTGTACAAAACAAACATTTAAAAAAATCCAAATATTGATCCATGAAATTTGCTTGCCAAAGTGTGCTACTAAGGTGATGATCGTGAGATGGCACACATGATTGGCACCAGTCTTGCTGACAGACCACTGGTTAGCACACCAACTGCTGGAGAAGTTCTCTGGAGGCAGTCCATAATGATGAGGTGGCTTGATGTATTCTTACAATATTCTCTCATCTATAAAGGAATGTCAAGAACTAAAGTCCAAAAATATAGGATGAAAATATTTACTCCATAGTGATGCAGGAATCCTAAAACACACAGAGGAAAGCAATCTAGTCCTGAATGAGAGATAATACAGAGGTAGAGAATTGAGAAAAAGAAAAGAACAAATTATCTGTGTTTGGTCTGCTAGCAAAATACTGCCAAGATAAAGAGAGACAAAACAAGGTATGATAGTTAAAACAAGAAGCAAGGATACCTGTCCTTGTCTCAGTCTTTGAATAGCATAATTATCAATTTAAAAAACCTGTCATATTAATCAAGGCTCACATTTTCTGATTAAAAAACAGTTTGATGTGCACTGAAGAACTAGATACAACGCACGTGCAGAATGACTACATAATGAAGGTCACTATA